CGCCGGGGATATCGATAGCGTCGGCGAGACCCCGTGAAACAATCGGGTGTTGGCTGGGGCAAAGCGCCGCTTCCTGCAGCTCCGGCTTTTTCCAGGCACAGGGCTGTTTTTCTAATACGCGTCAACGTATTACTGTTGTTGCTCTTGACGTGCTAAATACAGAACGAGCTGAGTGAGCTCACTGTGATCATACGGGTAGGCCTGGGTTGGGAGTGCTGCATCGTCAGACAGGCGATACCTGGCCTGCCCACCTGGAGGGAGAAGTCATCCTTCCCTTGCGTAACCTGCGCTCCTCTCCCGCTCAGCCTGGGCTGTTGTCAAATCGCTTCTCTTAATCAAAAGGAAATTGATTTACTTCTGGGCTTTCAAGGTCATCTTGAAAAGGTACATCTCAGACACGTAAGCTACGTGGTTTAGATTATTTCAGAGATGTAATCTCCTGTGAGGTCTTTATGCAAGACTTTCTCACTCTGCTTTTGTGAGGAGAGCCCATGGTCAGAAATGGAGCAGTATATGACACAATGTTGTAGGAAAATGCGTCTCTTCTACTCCTGTTCTTTGTCATAATGTATAGAGGTAAAATTATTACACAACCCTGTAAATCGGTTAATTCTGCACACGTTTAATTTGTGAAGGAAACCAAACGTTGTGTGCCTTCTGTTTGATAACTTTGGGGTATTCTGAAAAACAGTAAGCTGGACATAGACCTAGATTTGGCCAAATATTATAAAGTATATTACAAAGTTCATGTAGGGTGAAGAATTTTGTGTGTGTGTAGTGATGCAATCATATGATTTTTTTTTTTTTTTGTGCTGTATTTAAGTTTTAATTTTGGATGACACCGTGGTGTAGCTGTTCAGTATGTAAATGTATTTACTTAATGATATTTCAGCACTGGATATTCACTCCTTTTTCTAGAGATGCCTGTATTCTCTCAAGAACAGATTGCTAAGCTTTACAGCTGGAACATTTTCATTGAGTCATTGCGTCTACTAGGATGGCTGTGGGAGGCTGACGTGCAGTATCTCTGCATAATAAGGGGGAGCACCACTAAATTTTAGATGTGAAAAATGCAAAGTAAGAAAATGCATATGTCTGGGACTATCGTAGTTGCACCAGATGGGAATTGCTGCAGAGCACCGCAGTACAGCTCGATCTGAGGTGAAATGTAACTTCAGGAGGGTTTTATCATTAACAATACTAAACACCATGGGTTAGCAGAGCTGATAACCACCCAGTTATGCAGCATACCAACCATACCAAGAGAATGTAGTACCAAGTTAGGCCAACACTGCGTTATATTATCTCAGTTTAGAGAAGATGTTTTCAGTGGTGTGTTATTACTAGAATATACTGGGACTTTTAGTTTAATAATAATTGTATAATGCTACTCTCTACAGACCTCTTCCCCATTCTTACATGGTCTAACATGTAAAATGGGCACTGTATGCAAATACTTCATTTGAAAAATACAGGCTATATAGGTGTTACAGCAAGATGTGGGGGAGAGATGATGTTTATAGTATTCCGAGTCTTACAGAACTTTCATTTTAAGGTGTTCCGCTATTGTGACATTAGGAGCCTAAGTCCCATTTCACCCTGTTCTTGCCAAGATTGTGTGCTGCTTCTGTTAAGATGTAGCTTCCTGGAATTGTATAAACTACCTCTACCTCTATTTTCCTGCATGTTTAAGCTTATTGTAGGTTGTGTGCTTTTCTTCCTCCCCTTCTGTTTTTGTTAAATTGGTTTAAACTTTTTTTTTTAAAAAAACAGGATTTCTACAATTGGCCTGATGAGTCCTTTGAAGAAATGGATAGTACATTAGCTGTTCACCAGGTATTCTTACTTATGTGAAATGTTGTTAATGACTTCAGTTTCCCAAGTTTTGTATTTTGGTAAAAAAATGGGGAACAGGCCATGCTATTTATCTGCTTAGAATGTTGCTGCACAGGACTAAATTTCATAAGCACCCTACATATATTAAGAAAACTGTAATTATTAATTTTGAGTGCAGAAATAACTAGAATTCCCATGTCTGGTTTAAACAAAGCAGATTTAAGAAAATTGTGGGGGTTCCTGCGGGGTTCTCTTCTTTTACAGCTTTTTTACAATATCCTTCTCAAAATTTACCCATTCTTTTACCTTTTCTAATTGAGGAAAAGCATTTTTCAGATCTGGCATTTTTTAATACCAATTTTCTTACCCTGCCTATCTACTCTCTAACTTTTCAGTCCATCAGTCGCTTCTTAAGTAAGTCCCTCAGAGATGTAGTGCCCTAAATATACTGTCTTACTATAATTACAACAAGATCTAGATTTATTTTTTTCCCCCTCTCCTAGTATATTCAGCAAAACATAAGGGCAGACTGTTCCAACATTGATAAGATCCTTGAACCTCCTGAAGGCCAGGATGAAGGTGTATGGAAGTATGAACATTTAAGGTAAGAATCCATCTTTTGTCAATGTCCCGATTCTAAGTGTTGTTCATTGATAGTGGTAGTGAGTCTTTTAGAATAGGACAGATCAAAAGTAACTTAAATGAAACTTAATATTTCTACTATTAAATATTTTTATACTTTGATATTATTTTCTGAATTCCTTGTTCTTTCTAAAGATTTATGATGCAGTCCAATCTCATGTTTTTGATGGTTTTTAAGAAAAGGTTTGTACCTCACTTCAAAAGTTGTACTAACATGTTTTGAATATGAAAATATAGTAATGAATTTCCGTAGCCCTTTCTCCTAGTATCATCAGTTCTTTGTCTCCACTAATTGGGAATGTGATGTCCAGATGCTCCCAGTGCTTTTTCTGGAGCTTGCAGGAAAATGGGCTTTAGCTGGGAAAGCAAGGGTACCTGTGTCTTACAGTTCTTTTTCTAGGTGTAAGGAAACTCAAAACTTTTTGTCCTTTTCTCAGTTTGTTTTTATGCAGTATAAAAAAATTTGTTTAGCCCTAGCTGGTTGGGCCTGAAAGTATTTTTCAGTTGTAGTGTAGGTTTACACCCTGTTAATACATATGTATTAATCCTTTTTTCCTGGCATTACTTTAGTGTTCTTGTGTCCTGATTTTTTTTTTTTTTTTTTTCCCTTGTGTCTTCTAACTTTATCAAATATACTTTCAGGAATAAGAATAGTTCTAAGCTACTCCTAGATTTATATATCCTGATTTTTTGTCTCCTGTTTTCTTTTTCTCTCTTCTGGTCTGGAATAGTTCCAATAGAAGTGGGGAGTCCTCAAAAGAGGAAAAAGTGCGTGCATACAGTTGCAAAAGGCATATTTTAAGAATTTCCTCTGTCCTTGCACATACACCCAAAATCATTGTAGATTCATAGAAGTGACTTGACACTAAATACTTGTTGCTTTTGGAATATTTATTCAGATTTTTCTTGTAGGATGGAAGGGTGAATTCTCTTAAGTTAAACAATGCACTTTCAGGTTCATTCTAGTGAAAGCAGTATTGCTAGAAGTCCCACTCTCTTAATGATCTGTGGTGGGACTTTAGCCACTTAATTGATCTGGAGGATGTGTATCTTAGAAGGATGGAATGATCCAGCTATATGAATTTAGAACTTATGCTCTGAAATTCATTTTCTTGAAGTGTTGGTTTTTTTTTTTTTTTTAATCTGTATTTGTGAAATAGAACTTTCTTCCGTAATGAAGTTGGTATCTTAAACACTTCCACTTATTTGTTAAGCTCAATCTCTACTGTCAGGTAAGAATTAAAAAATGTAATTGTTTTGCTGAGTAAAAAAAATATGCTTGTGTGAATTCTGTTTCTCTCGACTTGTAGTCCTTTTATAGTGTGTTAATTCCTAGCCTGTTGCCTTTTAGATGTGACATCAGTTGAAATTATTTGGTGGTACTCTTTTAAGTATGATTTTTTTTCATGTTCTGATGTATTTTTTTGCCACTTTACAAGAATCATTTCCAAAAACATTGAGATCTGTGAAGATCAGAATGTATAACCTTGTTTTGTATTAGATGTTTCTAGTGGGAAAACAAATTGTTGATTTTGATGCTGCTGTGTTCAAATTCTTTTAGACAATTCTGCCTCGAGCTCAATGGACTAGCTGTCAAGCTTCAGGTAATTCTTTTCTGATATTTTTATATCGGAACAGGGAGGAGACTTTTTGTATTGTAAGATGCAGAGTTTGCTGAGCTTTCTTCTTCTAAATTCATACACAGAGACTTAAGCAGTGGTTTGAGGCAAGATGTTTTTTTAGGGTTTTAAAGACTTCAGGCAAATAACCCTTCTTGGTGGGGGACAGGGCAAGAAAATGATTTTTTAAAAGATCGGCTCGTTTTTGCTGTTGGGTGGTTTTCATAACTGAATAATTGTTTTAACAGAGTGAATGTCACCCAGACACATGTACTCAGATGACAGCAACCGAACAATGGATTTTTCTTTGTGCAGCTCATAAAACTCCCAAAGAGGTATGGATGTATTTTGGAAAACTGACCCCATTGATGTAGGATTTTCTTTCACAGTTCATGTGTTCATGGGGAGACCATTATAGCTGGCTTCTTAGTCAAACTGAGAGCTTATGTGGGTTAAGAGTATCGTTTGAGTTTTCCTTCTTTCCTGTTCTGTAGTGGTTTACAAAAGAATGGGATAAGGTAGGAAGGAACCGCTTTTTACCACAGTGTTAGAGACTTTGTGAATTCATCTCTTTTCTCTCTTAATTTGTGTTGAGACAGCCTGAAACTCAATGGAAAAAGGTCTTTGTTAAATTGAAAGAAGAGTACATGCTGAGAATAGGCTGTCCTCTTCAAACTTTGGCCTTGATCCATAGCACTAGGCCTATAAGCCCGACTCTCTGAAAGTGACTGCTTGTGCACATTCTTAGGGAAGTTACTGCTTCTTGTGGCCTAACCCGGCAGGCAGCCGAACACTACACAGCTGTTTGCTCACTCCCCCGCCTCCCCAGAGGGATGGGGGAGACAGTTAGAGAAAGGAAAAAAAGAAAAAAACAAAAAAGTAAAATTTGTGGGTTGAGATAAAGATGGTTTAATAGGACAGAAAAGGAAGGGAAAATAATAATAATAATAAAAGCATATACAAAGTAAGTGATGCACAATGCAGTTGCTCACCACCTGTTGACCGGTGCCCAGCCAGTTCCCAAGCAGCGGTTCTCTGCCCCCCGGCCAGCTCCCCGCAGCTTATGTACTGAGTGTGATGTCCTATGGTCTGGAATAGCCCTTTGGCCAGTTTGGGTCAGCTGTCCTGGCTGTGCCCCCTCCCAGCTTCTTGCTGGCAGGGCAGGAGAATCTGAAAAGTCCTTGACTAGCATAAGCACTGCTTATCAACAACTAAAACATCAGTGTGTTATCAGCATTATTCTCATCCTAAATTCAAAACACAGCACTGCGCCAGCTACTAGGAAAAAAAAAATTAAACTCTGTCCCAGCTGAAACCAGGACACTCCGAAAAGGTAGTGGAGTCATAAAAATACTTCATATCAAGTGGGTTATCAGCATGGCAGTAGCTTGTCTACCTGAGTGTCCAATTACTTTAAACTTTGTTCGCATCTCCTATTGAACCACTTGATACCTTTCCCCCTACCCGCCCTTTAGAAGGTCTTTCTCTGTTACTGTTGGTTATGGCGGTAGTGCAGTCTGTCAGATTTATCTTTGTCTTTCACTTTCCAGAATAAGGTATTCTTATCCTTTTTGTCCTGTAAGCTTTTTTTTTGTTTGTTTGTTAATTTCCTGAGATGTCTTGATTTAGCTCTGACGGCCAACTTCTTTCCCACTCCCTCCTTTTACCCTCATCACCACTCAGTATATTGGCATACAGTATGTCTGTTTTATTCAGCTAGACTGGAGAACTTCAGGCTGCTTTTTATCTCTGAACAGGCATCATTCATCTACTGTTTTCCATGTCGATAATAGCTATCAAGTAATGGTTAGGTAGTGGGTGATGCAACCTTGAACTGCTGACAAAAACGTGTAACTGAGAAGT